CCCCACCCTCTCTCCCCCTCCCCGCACCCGTCTGCTCCTAGACCTTAACCCCTTGTCAAACCCCAAACTTAGCCGTTGGGATTCTGGCTTTTGCCCAGAACGTGGGTTCAGCGGGCCTTTGATTTATTTCTTATCTCTCTCAACCTTCCATCTTCCAGATACTCATTCAATGAATATTTTTGGAGAACTTACAGTGTGCAAGAACCCTGTCTAGGTTCTAGGATTACAGACAAGCGCCAGCTGCCAAAGACACAAGGCACCTGCTTTCTCAGTGCTACTTTCTAGTAGAAAGACAGACAATAAACAAACATTAATGATTTCAGATAATGATAAGTGACATGAAAATAGGTGACATGATGGAGAGTTGGGTGCCCAACAGGCCACTAACTGAAATGAGTAATTAGGAAAGGCATCTCTGAGAACCCTCGTATTGAGTCGAATGGGACCCAAAGTATGAGAAGAAGCCAGTCTTGTAAAAACCTGGGGACAGAGTTTTATGCAGAGGGCAAATGTCCTGAGGACCACATAAGTGGTGTTGCTAGGACTAAGGAAGGAAAGAGGAGAGGAGGTGAAGTTGGAGATGTAGGCAAAGGCCAGATGATGTAGAGAGGCCTTGCAGACCAAAGAAAGAACTTGGATTTCATTTTACACATGATAAATTGTATGGAAGGACTTTTCAGGATTGCTCCCTCTTGCCTCTCTCAGAATTCCTTTTAGGCTCACTTGTCAAAATCATTAGTCTATTTGCCTCTTTCTTGTTTGCCAGCTTCTATGCTTGCATAGTTAATTTTGTGTGAATTTAGAAAAATTCATCAAGGAATGTAATTATATTTACTGAAGTTGATTGAGTTACATGCCAGGGTTCACACATATTTTCTCTACAACAATGTACAGTAGGTACTATTGTTGCCTTCATTTTGCAGATGAGATACTGCCAAGAGGTGAAGTATCATATCCAAGGTCAAATAGCCAGGGTGACTCACAAACTTGCTGCTAACTAACCGCTACCCAGCAAACTTCAGCTTCATTTCTCCATTAAGGTCTCAAAACTCATGGAATAAGCCAGGCACAGTGGCTCACACATGTAATGCTAGCACTTTGGGAGACTGAAGCTGGTGGATCACTTGAGCTCAAGAGTTCAAGACCTACCTGAGCAACAGCGAGGTGAGATTCTGTCTCAAAAAAATAAAACAAAACAAAACAAAAACATGGAACAGGGGAGCGGTTACTGCTGTTACATTTATCATCTCTTCTCCATGGCCCTAAACCTCCCTTTCTTCTTCCAATAACAAAACAAAACTTTCATTCAAATTAATAGAGGCAAGTAGATACTACTCTGCTGGGGCTGTCTTCAGCTAGCCAATTATCTTTCTGACTTTGATTAAATGAATTCTAAATGTCTTCCCAAGGCCAAGCAACCAGCAAATTCTGCCTAATAAAAGAAGTTCACTGTATTTTCACCAGGGCTACAAGATTCACTTCCTTATTATTCTTCAAGTCACTATAATTCTAAATTGGACACTAGTGACATTTCCTTTGAAATTCACCCTCCCCCCCCAAAAAGAAAATGGTTTGATGACTAGAGAGAAAAATGAAACAATAGACTTGTGATAAAGCAACTGCAGTGTTGCTATAGAATCTAGGTGAAATATACAAGTGCCCACTACACAATTATTTTAAAATTTCTGTATGTTTAAACATTTTCAAAATAAATTATCAGGGGAATGTTACAAAGAAACAAGAAGACTTCCATACAGGAGAAAAGATGAACAGACTCTTTACTCTCTTGGATTGCTTGGGGGGTGCACATAGACAATTCTCTAAAGGTCTCTGCTTTTCTTTGCATTTTGAAGAAAATAATGAATTTAGCCTGTGATTCACAGGGTACATAAGAATAACCTAGGAAGTTAATTAAAATAAAGATCCTTGGGGCCAGGCGCGGTGGCTCATACTTGTAATCCTAATACTCTGAGAAGCCAAGGCTGGTGGATCGCCAGAGCTCACAAGTTTGAGACCAGCCTAAGCCAGAGCAAGACCCTGTCTCTAAAAAATTAGCCAGACCTTGTGGCGAATACCTGTAGTCCCAGCTACTCAAGAGCCTGAAACAAGAGAATCACTTGAGCCCAAGAGTGTGAGGTTGCTGGGAACTATGACGCCATGGCATTCTACAGAGGGAGACAAAGTGAGACTCTGTCTCAAAAAAATAAATAAATAAATAAAATAGAATAAAATAAAATAACGATTCTTGGAGATCAAAGATTCTGAATTTTCGGTGGGGTTTGGGGATATACTTTTGTAATAAGCTCTTCAGTTGAGTCTGGTAAGAAATCCATGTACATGGAGGAACACTGTCTATAGTGTGATAAAACTGAAAGCCAATTAATTATGTAGTAAACAGTGGGCATGCCAGACTTCCTTTGCCCAGACTGATTTGGGGGGTGCCCAGGATTTAAAGACTAATATCTTTCCCAATTAAAGAAGCGTGCATCCCTTATGTTTCTCCATAAATTAAAAGACCATATAAAGATTTTAGTGCCTTAAGAGCAAATATTTGTACAGGAAGCTCTTTTGATGGGCACACCCATGAAGAAAACTGTCATCCTCATTAATGAATAAACAACAGGGAATAGTCAAATAGTGGGACTCACCACATTGAAATGAGAAATCTTATTCATGCCAAAAAAAAAAAAGAAGAAAAAAGGAAAGATGCATTTAACTAAGGTTTTGAAGAGTATTTAGTTTTCTCCTTTAATGTTTAATTTTTTTTTTTTTTAGACTTTGTCTCAAAGTGAGACTCTGTCTCAAAACCCTTGGTCGAGTGCTGTGGTGTCGCAGCTCACAGCAACCTCCAAATCCTTGGGCCTAGGTGATTCTCGCGCCTCAGCCTCCCGAGCAGCTGGGACCACAGGTGCCCGCCACAACACCTGGCTATTCTTTCGTTGCAGTCTGGCTGGGGCTGGACTTGAACCCTCCACCCTCGGCACGTGGGGCCAGCACCCCACCCACTGAGCCACAGGCACCGCCCTAATGTTTAATATTTTTTAAGTGAAAGAAAGAAAACATTCAAAAGAAGAGATAGATGTTTGAGAAAACATGATTTGATGGGATTTTAGACATTTAAAAAATAATGCAGTACTACTCTTTTAAGTGAGAGCTTAATTTTTCAGTAGCTCCTACTCAAAACTTTTCTCTGGCTCACTCATCTGTATTAGCGCGGTTAAGGAAAAATGTGGATACAATGTTGGATCATAGATTCTGTCCTAAAATGAGGCCATAGAAATGTCAATTGAAAGGACTATGTCACAAAATAGAATGTCTTATGTGCTATAAAAGAAATACAAATTAAATGTGTTGGGAATTCAGAGCAGAGAAATGATTTTTGACTCAAGGATCAGTATGGTGGAACTCCAAGCTGGGGTTAAACAACACTTGGGTTTGGACGTGCGGAAACAGGGTGGAGGGTATTCAGGCTGAAGGGTAATATGAAAGAAAGCAGAGAAGGTATGCCTAGGCACAGTGAACGGAGGGAGGGCTGGATAGACTAAGTTAGTCAAGGAAGATAAGCTTCAAGGCAAATCTTGAAGAGCCTTAGAAATCAGGCTAAGGAAATGGACCTTTCCATTATCGTTGGGCAACAAGGAACCAACAGAAGTTTGGGGGCAGAGAAGTGAAATGACCAGAGTTTTTCCTTAGCAATGTTTTCTGGCAGCTTTGAGCAGACTGTTGAGCAGACTTTGAGCAGATCTTCAAAGATCTAGGCTACTATAGTAAAAGCTCAGGTGTGAGGGAATAGGGGCTTCAACTCCGACAGTAGTCATACCTGGGAGGTAAAAACAGTGAGATTTAGAGACTGATTTGTTTGGAGAGAAGAGAAAATGGAAACAGGCATTAGGTCTCAAATCATGTAATTAGAGATTTAAGAGTATAATGACAAAGACAGGGGATATAAGAGGAATTAACTCTTGCTGATGTCAAAGCATAAATTTCAAAAAATTAGAAAAATAGCTGGGCGAGGTGGCTCACCCCTATAATCCTAGCACTCCGGGAGACTCAGGGGTATGGATTGCCTGAGCTCAGGAGATGGAGACCAGCCTGAGCCAGAGCAAGACCCCATCTCTAAAAATAACTGGGCGCTGTGGCGGATACCTGTAGTCCCAGCTATGGGGAGATTGAGGCAAGAGGATCTCTTGAGCCCAAGAGTTTGAGTTTGCTGTGAGCTATGACGTTATAGCCCTCTACCCAAGGTAACAAAATGAGATTCTGTCTCAAAAAAAAAAAAAAAAATTAAAAAGATGACTTTCATACAAGTACACAGTGAGCATGCTTAAAAGATTTCTCTAACATATTAGTAAAGTAACCAGTAACCAGTGGTGCTGAGGAGAAGTGAGAGTCCATCATGCATGTGTGGGAGTATATTTAATACAAAGAAAAAAATATGTGCTGGATAAGATTGCTAGGTGAGATCCAACAGCACTTCCCAACCCTTTGGCATCAGGAACTGGTTTCCTGGAGGACCATTTTTCCATGGACTAAGGAGAGGTGGTGGAGGAAAATGGTTTCAGGCTGATCAAGTGCATTTCATTTACCTCAGATCACCAGGCATTAGATCAGTGATTTTCAACCAGTGTGCCATGGCGGGTGTACTGTGAGAGGGTCTTAGGTGTGCCTTGAAAATTTTTAAAAAGCATTAATTAAATTATTTTCAAAAATTTTTAAAAATCATTAAATTATTTTCGAAAGAAGTTCAAAGTAAGTATATCCTTTTGTTCTCTTTTTTAAATCAACATAATTTAAGTGTGCCACAGAAGTTTAATGATAGGCTTAAGTATGCCATAAGATAAAAAAAGGTTGAAAAACACTGTTAGATTCTCCTAAGGAGCAT